TCCTCTGCCACAGAGCTGGAAATGATTGCTTTGCCATGTCCTGTGCTTTGGCATCACATGATGGGTGTAAGGGACCCTTGGCTCTCCCTCCTTCATAGGATCAGCCTGAAGATTCTGATGATCTCATTCTTTAAATTTTTGCCCATCTCTTCTCCTTGTCTGTAATTCTTGAGTGGGGAAACCTGTTGTTTAAAGCTTCATAGACTTCATCACCTTGCAGCCACCAGAGTATATAAATAAGTTTGCTCTGCTGTAGTATATTTAATCCTTACCAGCAAAATTATTAGTGGGACAGCCCCTCTCCCCTAAGATGTTCTTATATACCTGCCACCTTAAAGATGTTTTCTAACTTGGTTTTAGCCTTTGGGCCATGAATTTACCCAGCCCATTTTGTACTCACCTGGCTTGTGGGTGACTATGGCATGATGAAACCTGTGGAGATGAAGTGGCATTTGATTTATCAGAGGAGGGAATTGTTTTGATTTGTTTTCATAAAGAAACTAAACATAAAACAAACTGCTACTATCTAGAACACTAATGATTTATTTATTTTAGGTCCTATATAGGTTAAGAATTCCTTGGAGTAAGATTGGCCAGAAGTTGTGTTCTGGCTGTGTCTCTTACTATCTAATCAAGTTTCTCAACTTCTGTGATGTTTAATTTCTTTATCTATAAAATGGTGATAATAAGTAATAGGGTTGATGTGTGAATTAAGTTCTTAAATTAAATTAACTGAAAGGGTTTAGCACGCTGCCTATCATGTTAAGTGTTCAGTAAATGTTAGTGATTATTAAATCATGTTGCTGAATGAATTGCTCTGTTAATCTTTCATTCCCTCCTCTCCTACGTTGGTTTTCATTCTTTTCTGTGTATCTTTCTCTCACTTTTACCCTTTCTACATACCAAAGGGACATTAATACTTTCCGTCAAATCCACAGGGTTTATGGAGAAGACTTAGCTGCCAAGAATTGTTTGGGTTTGTTGTAACCTCTTAGAGAAAGTTCTTTGTTATCGAGGACAGAAAGGGGGAGAAAAGATGTTGCCATATGGACTCACACTGGCAATCTCAACTTAATTCCCATTTTAGGACCCTGCCCGTACAGCAGCTCTGTGTCCACAGAGTCATCCAAATGCCTGTCAGCGCAGCGGGGGAGGCCTACACTGTGCATCCCCTAGTTCACATTCTGTTGGCAGCTCAAGTTTCATGGGCCCACGGTGATTTTCACTGCGGAGACCGCTTGGCGTCTTGCACAGAGCAGATGAAAGCAGCCTCTGAAGGGAAGCTGCTTCTCTGGCACACACAAGCAGCACAGCCTATTCTTGCATTGCCCAAAGTGCTTCAGTTTCATTCAGCTTCAAAGGCTCTGCCTTTCGGGAGGGAACAAGTGATGGGACATTTTAGGCATTTTAAAATAGAGTACTTCTTGGCATCTGGGAAAGTTGATGTTTTATACCCTTTGATCTGAGGGCCTCATCTTGCCACTTTTCTAAACTGAGTGTCCTGTGGTTGATGGTGTTATTAGGTTTGCGAGCATTCATTCCCTTCATTTTCACCCTCTTTCCGTGTTTTCTGTAGAATGATGTGTCCAAGTCTCATCTGAATTTAATTTCATGAGCTGTATGACACTTTGAAAGTATGAGCTGATGATACTTCTCTAGCTTTCTGCATTTTGTCATATTTTACCATCTGTGCAACATATGAAAAGTCTTAGATTTCTGTTTCTTTGCAAGTTGGATATTATGTAGGACAGACAGATAAAAAAGCTCTTGTCCTTGAAGCATTGTCACTGTAACAAGGAGTTCTTAATCTGGGACCTGTAGACATCTGGCTAATCTATGGCTAGCTTCTTCAGACATCCTTGAACAGTCTAAAATTATATGCAGATTTTTGTGTATAAATTCTTGTGCAAATGTTTCTGGAGATTTGTCAAGTCATGGTCGAGGTCTGAATAGAGGTTACAAGACCCTGAAATTTAACTAGATACATCTTATAATTAGGAATTATTATGGCAGCATTGATTTTTTGCTTTTAAGGAAATTGGCTTAAAAAAAAAAATCTCTGTTTTAAAGCAAGCATGTAACTAAACACCATTCAGTTTGGTCCTCTGATTTTATGCACTAAATTGTGTGTGAAAACCAAAGGAAAACAAGAGAGTGCCATCTAGAGGCGTAACAACAGTTTGGCTCCTGCCTTCTCCCTACACAGGACTTCAGCTTTGGCAACTTTCTAAATTAAGAACATTTTTTTCTCTCTTACGTAATTGCAGACCATAAACACATGTGTCAATGGTATTTATAATTCATACAGGTGCTACAAGTGGGGGTCTAGCCTTGCTACTCTGAAAACCTAATTTTAATAAACTTAATGTTGTAGATGGTATTTATTTTATAGGGAGGAAGGAGCTGTAGTCTTTCAGATCTACTTTGTATCTGAATAGACTTTTAATCATAAAGCAAGAACAAACTGATGCCTGATATAGCATCGTTTTGATGTAGGGACTTTGCTTTATTGTATTTTCTTTTAAAGTTAGAATAAATTTAAAAAGTTAAGTAATTTATTGTTATTACTTTTAGTAGTCTTTCCAAGACAGTGATATAGTGTTTGTCAAATGGTGTAGAAATCACAGAGTTGAATTCACCCTGGAAAAGTAAATCAAACAGAATTTAGATCCATATGAAAATGTATAACAGGGTAGTCGAGAGCACAGTGTAGAAGCCCCAACTTTGCCACTATTTTACAATGTTGACTGCATAATTTAATTTTCAATATCTCGTTTCTTTTTCATTTATAACTGGAGCTAAAAATAATATCTAACTTACGGACATTGTGAAAACTAAATGAAATAAAATAAATGTAAGCACAGTGCCTGGTATACGACAGGCACTGTGTATAATTTAAAATTATTGTTATTTTCACTGACATATTTTGTTTTCAGGATAGCTGTAATGAAATAGAAAAGAAGAAAATTTAAAACCTATAGAGAATTTAATGTTTTTAAAAGCATTTCACAAATATCTCATTTGATGAGACTAAATATTCAACAAATATTTATTTATTCATATTTTCAGTAGATACTTATTCAGCTCCTAAATGGCTAGGGTATAATAACCATTTTAGATATCAGAGATCTGAGACTAGTTATAGCAGGAAGAAACTTTGTGATGGAGGAGTTAGATAATAAGCATGTAAATACACAAACAAGATCGTTTCATCAGTGTGAAGAAAATTAGTGTGATGGAGAAGAGACCTACTTTAGAGTAGTGATCAGGGAATAGCTTTCTGAGGAAGCGACATTCAAGCCCTTACCTGAACGACAAGGAGCCAGCTATACGAAGCTCTGAGGAGTGACCATTCCAACTCAAGGAAACCAGCAAGTGGGAAGGCCATCAGGGTGGAGTGTGTTTCACATGTGCAAAGACTAGCGAAAAGGCCAGTGTGGCAGGATATGAGGTCAGAGAGGGACCTAGGGGACTTGTAGGCCCAGGACTTCGGATTTTGTTGGGAAGAGATCAGTGAGTTATAGGCCAGGCAGTAATATGCCCAGATTTATGCTTTGGAAAAATCCCTTTTGCTTCCCAATGGAGAGAAGATTGTAATGGAGCCAGAATGGAAGCAGAAAGACCAGTTAGGAGGCTTTCGCAATGGTATAAGCAAGAGATGATGTGGCTTGGATGAGGATTTGAATTCATGGTTCAGGGATTTGAATCCCCCCAAAACTGTGCAGTACAGAGACAGCATAGCATTGTGGTTAAGAGCACCAAGTGAGCCGGGCTGGGTGGCTCAGCCTGTAATCCCACGCCTTTGGGAGGCTGAGGTGAGTGGATTGCCTGAGCCCGCGGGTTCGAGACCTGCCTGGGCAACTTGGCGAGACCTCATCTCTACAATAAATCGAAAAGTAGCCGGGCGTGGTAGCACGCGCCTGTAGTTCCAGCTACTCGGAAGGCTGAGGCGGAAGGATCACTGGAGCCCAGCAGGTCGAGGCTGCAGTGGCTGGGAGCGGCCACTACACTCCAGTCTGGGTGACTGAGTGAGACTCCAACTCAAAAAAAAAAAAGAGCACCAGGTGAAGAGTGATACTGTCTGGTTTGAAGTCTAACTTAATGATCATGTGATCTTAGACAAGTTTAACTTCTGTGCCTAATTACCTCCAGACCATTTCTAAAATGAGAATAATGACAGTACTTTCCTCCTAGGATTGCTGTATGGATTAATTGAGATAATAGTAATTGCAAAGTGCTCAGAAGAATGTGTTAACTCTACTGTTTTATTGTCATCATCACCACCTTTGCCACAACCCTCCGTCATCATCAGTACCCCCAACTTACAGATGAGAAAACTTAGAGAGTGGGTTTCAAGTCAGAATATAGATTTCTTGATTTTTTTAATCCATTGTTCTTTCTGCAATGTAATCTGCAATATGAGCTCCCAGAGAAAAATAGCTATTGACCTGAATCTCTGTAGCTCACAGCTCAGTTTCACATACCTGTAACTGTTTAAATAACAACTGGGAAATGACAAATAAGGCTATCAGAATCCCAGTGCACAGAGATGCTTCCCACACACCTTGTGCCATCAGAAATGTCAAATTCTTAAGCCAAAAGCATTGGTATGTACATAGTAGGCCATTTAGAAGGATAGAACTGATATTTTGAGAACCTTGTAAAATACTGAATCTTTTTAAAGGACATTCTACTCTTCACTAATTGTGTTTAGTGGGGCCATACATGATATAAATAAATGAAACCCATGGATTACCTCCAGACTTTTTCTGGTCAGACTTTTAGTAAAGGCATTTGAATTTCTCTTTGCTCCACTTGTCTCTGCCTTTGCTCACCACCTCTGGAGTCAGCAGTGAAATAGGTAAGGATCAAGGAGCAAGAAAGACAAAATTAGAAGCTGGGAGCTTGAGTTCTCCCTGTTGGCCTTGCCCCTGGTTCCTTGGCTCCACTGGTACCTCCCCTCCCCAGAGACTGAAGACAGGCTTGTTTGTCTGTTGCAGAATGTGAGCATTTGATCCGCCACATGCTGGTGTTAGACCCGAATAAGCGCCTCTCAATGGAGCAGATCTGCAAGCACAAGTGGATGAAGCTGGGGGACGTGGACCCCAACTTTGACAGGGTGAGCTGCTTGCAGAACTCCTTGCAGAACTCCTCTTAGAGCTGCTGCAGTCTCTTTCGTATGTGATTGTAATCAGGCCATGACCTGAAAAGGTGGGAACAGAGTATTGTATAATAGCAAAGCAGCAAGTGAGGCAAGCAAGAAGGAATGTAACACCGGGTGAAATGTTGGAGAATGGTGATACTTGTTCCTATAATGTGTCCCCATATTGTAGTCGGTCTTTGGCTTTTGAGACAGTACAGCCCACAGTTCTGCAGCTCACCCACCATGGGGGTGTCACCATCCTCTTGTGTTAGTGTGCTCAGTTCAGTGGCTCCTGCAGCATACTTTTAAAAAAGTCATTGTAGCCATTCCATGTACTCCCAGGAGCTCAGGAAACATTGGGGATCTTGTCTGCTCAAAGTTGATCACTCAGAGCTGTCTTGTTTAGACTTTGAAGCCAAAAAAATTCTAAGCTACAGGGCATAGAATAGCTTGGTCATTATATATGAAATGCCGCAGTGATGTGGTTAATTGAGGGTTTGACAGCTTGCCTCTTTTCATGTTATAGTTAATAGCCGAATGTCAACAACTAAAGGAAGAAAGGCAGATGGACCCCCTGAATGAGGATGTTCTCTTGGCCATGGAGGATATGGGACTGGACAAAGAGCGAACACTACAGGTATCTCTGAAGGAGTGGGAGAACACAGTGGGATGTAGCAGTTCTTCCTCTATCCTGCTTTTTCCATTTTTTCTCTTTCTTGGGAACTTGGGTCTTTTTGTTTTCTCCTGTTTTTCTTCCTCTGCCCCTTCCTGGGCTTTGGAAAAAAAAGGAAAGAAGGTGCTTTGGTCGTCTTAATGTTATTACTGAGAAGGTTCTGGTCATCGACATGCCATTTCACCAGGGTTTTGTACTCTTTTCCCTTCTCTCTTGGTAGTCATTAAGATCAGATGCCTATGATCACTATAGTGCAATCTACAGCCTGCTGTGTGATCGACATAAGAGACATAAAACCCTGCGTCTCGGAGCACTTCCTAGCATGCCCCGAGCCATGGCCTTTCAAGCACCAGTCAATATCCAGGTGGGCAATAACTCCAGCGACCTAGTGCAGGACAAGTAACACTAGGGGGGTGAAGGTTAACTGTTGCTCACTAACCCTAAGTCAAGAGAGTTTCCTGTTCTTCCTTGTCTCCTCCCATTTGTCATCTCTTCCTTTGTTAGAGCCTAATCAAAGACCTGGACCTTTCTTTGACAGAGAGGATAGATGAGCAACAATAGTTGCGCTTTTTAAAAATTTTTAAGAAATAGCAAATCATTGGGAGATATTGTCCTCTCAACAGGATGTTTCCTTGTTGAGGCTTCTAAGGACAGACGAACCAAAAAGTGTAGTAACCAAGGAGGCATAGACTTTAGCAGTCAAGACTACCCTTATTTCCCTCGAGTGTTTAAGGTATGTGTGTGTATGTATGTACTCCTTTCCAGGCGGAGCAGGCAGGTGCCACAATGAACATTAGCGTTCCCCAGGTGCAGCTGATCAACCCAGAGAATCAGATTGTGGAGGCAAGTAGCAACCTGTGATAGTTGTCCGCTGAAGCCACTTCTTTCCCATAACCTTGCTTCCTTTTGTTACTTCTGATTTCTAATGAGATGGTGTTTTTCTCCACCTCAGCCGGATGGGGCAGTGAACTTGGACAGTGATGAGGGTGAAGAGCCTTCCCCTGAAGCATTGGTTCGCTATTTGTCAATGAGGAGGCACACGGTGGGTGTGGCTGACCCACGGTGAGTATCTGGCCAACAGCCCTGATTAACACCCAGGCAAAGAATTGCCATCTGACTTTCAGTTCCTACCATGGCACATGTCTTCTACTTCACTGCAACCTCCTCACCCTTGAGGAGATCTAATCCAGTAGCCAAGACAAATGGACAAATGATATGATATAGTTTATATATGTGGGCAAGTAAAATTTAAGTGATCAAGAATTCAGAGTCCAATAACACACCAGTTTCTCAGTGTTTTTCCAAACAGTTTTTCATGATGTTCCCTGATGTCCTCACACTAGAAAAATGAACTGAAGTTCAGCCACCTTGCTCTATTTTGTTCTATAGTTGAAGACCCTTAACATTAAAAATAGCCTTACCTCTTTTCTGGATATTTTCTTTGCTGAGTAGGTAAGAGGAGGTTATGGTAAGAATTCTCCTGAGAGTTCAACTAGGGCAAAGCTGGTTTTCTTGTAAATATATCTTTTCTCTAAGCAGATTTCCAAAAGACTCCCATGACTGCCGATTTGCTTGCTTTATGTTTCTTGTTCTCGGCCTTTGATCGAACAGGCAGTAAGAGACCATTCTGGCTCCACAGACTGTGTCAGCTGCAGAGGGGTGGAACCCTGAGCCGCTCTGTTAGTGGAAAGATCTCTTATTTTAAAGTATGCTGTAAAACCTACTGTTGTAGCAGACAGCCCTGAACATCCAGTACTTATCTGTCCTATCAGCACTGACAAGAGTAATTGCATTCTTTCCCTGGTGAATCAGTTGCTACTTCAGGCAGCCATTGTTTTAGCAGATGGCCCATGTGCTCCAGAAACTTGCTGTTCACCTCCAGGCTTTGAAAACCTGAACTGGACTGGTGCCAGCATTTCCTCTTGGCTCAGGGATGTTGGTTTTACACAAGTAGCCGATGAAGAAAGCAATGCCCAGTCCCAAGTAGTAAAGTAGCAGAGAGTCAGATTCCACACATTAAGCGTTTCCTTTGCCTTGAGATCTTAGAGACAAATACAAATTTAGGAAGAAAGTAAAAAAAGAAAATAAATTATTCATAGCAGTACCATGATTGGGATATAAGCACATAATCTATGCTGAGATATAAGCACCTTTTTTCTTTTTGAGTTGGGATCTCACTCTGTTGCCTAGGCTGGAGTGCAGTGGGACAACCATGTCTCATCAAAGCCTCGACCTCCTGGGCTCAGGTGATCCTTCCATCTCAGCCTCCTGAGTAATTGGGACTACAGGCACGTGCCACCATGCCTGGGTAATTTTTTTTTTATTTTTTGTAGAGACGAGGTCTCGCTGTGTTGCCTAGACTGGTCTTGAACTCCCAGGAACAAATGATTATCCCGCCTCAGCCTCCCAAAGTACTGGGATTACAGGCATGAGCCACTATGAGCAGAATATAAGCACTTTTGAGTAAGAATATTAACCACCCTTTTTTGTCATGTTGTTTTCTATCAGCACGGAAGTTATGGAAGATCTGCAGAAACTTCTACCTGGCTTTCCTGGAGTCAACCCTCCAGCTCCATTCCTGCAGGTGACCCCTAATGTGAACTTCATGCACAACCTGTTGCCCATGCAAAATTTGCAACCAACTGGGCAGCTTGAATACAAGGTACATGGACTTGGGAGAGGGCTTGCCATGGAAGAAACATACGTGAGCTTCTTTTGAGAGGCTTTGAGAGACTTTCCCCAAGGCTTAAGGGTTTCTTGTAGAGCAGGATGATTGCTTTTGCAAAGCAGCTAGGGTGAGAGGGAAGATTTCTCTAGTCTATATCATGATCAATGGATCCTTTAATTTCAGTACATTAGTGTATTGCTCTTTTTTCTCATACTTCCCCCCCTTATCTCACCAGTCTATCCTTTTCACTCTCTTCCTGGCAGGAGCAGTCTCTGTTACAGCCTCCCACCCTACAGCTACTGAATGGAATGGGCCCCCTTGGACGGAGGGCATCAGATGGAGGAGCCAACATCCAACTGCATGCCCAGCAGCTGCTGAAGCGCCCACGGGGACCCTCCCCACTTGTCACCATGACACCAGTGAGTGACAACACAGAGCCCAATTTACTTTCTCAGAGACTTTTGTTAGCCTAGGGTTAGGAACCCAGGGTCAATGTGCATGTGTGAATTTTCTTTCTCCAAATGTGATGCTCAGTGTATTTCCATCTTCTTCAGACTACTAGACTTCCCCAGACTTTATTTTTGGCTAACTTCCTTACTTAATCAAATAATTTTGACACTGAAACCTGCTTCTATAGAGCCCCTTCTTGGTGTGGGCCATTTATAAACATCCTAGTTAAGTACAGCTACATTCCTGTCAGCTTGGGGCAGGTAGAAGAAGCCTGTCTCAGCCCCTTCTCAAAGATGACTTTTCCCTTCAGGAGGCAGTTGAATCAAACTCTGGAATTAATTGCTTTCTAGACTAGTTTCCAGAATTACCTTCTCACCAACTTTTTCTCTTTGATTAACACTACCTCACACATTTTTAGTACAACCTGGGTCACTTCATTATAAGGTTCCACAGCCCTAGCCTGGTCAGCTGGCATCTCTCAGTCCATGTTCTCAGCCCATGATAGCCACATTCAAAGATTATTTTCTCCCCTGGGTTCCTTTTATTTCTGGTTATTTTCCTGTCATAGGTCATTCATTCCTTCAGTCAATCTCATAGTACCATAAGATTGGATACTAACTATATCCATAGCCCTTACATGATATTTTAGGGCAGTGCTACCCTGAGGACCCTTTTACCCCCTTCAGTCCATCATGGATTAATCCCTTGTAAAATACAGTAAAAGTGAAACATTAGAAAAATGAAAAATTTTCATGACCAGCCTGGGCCGCATGGTGAGACCTCGTCTCTACAATAAAATAAAAAAATTAGCCGGGCATGGTGGCACATGCCTGTAGTTCCAGCTACTTGGAAGG